TCCTCTAACAGCTGCTGCGCTAGCTCAAGCCACTCCTGCCTATGGAAGCCGCTGTGGTGTTGCCAGCTCCTCGCCAGCGTGCGCATGGCACGGAGGGAGGCGTCCAGGCGCACAGACAGGCCTTCGCCAGGGCAGGAGTCCTGGAGCGATACCTGAAGCTGGATGCAACACTGGACGGCGTCCTTCGTCGCATCTTGCACCGTCAGGGTAAATTCTTGAAAAGACTGGTACAACCACCTCCAGCCAGCAGCGATCTGGAGCTTATCCTCAGGATCCTTCGGGCGATAGAAAACCGAAACCCAAGATGATTTGATCGTTCGCGAACGCTCACCCAACTCCTTCGGCTCGAAACCTAACGTTCGGGTAAGCTCCAGCTCGGCGACGTCCACAAAATGCGCCCATGCATTATTCAAAACCCTCCAGGCCGCCGTGGCCTTCTCGTGCATGGCCCAAGCCGCTGCCTGTGCAGCATGAGCAAGAGCGCCTTGCCACGCTGGTGGTTGAGGCCGCGGACCAAAAGGCACATCGACAGGTAGGCGCTGATAGCTACGGTACACTAGCTGCCTGAGGGAAAGAGCATCTGCACGCACCTTGAGCTGGACGGGTCTGTGGGGCTTGACATCCCAGGACATGACAGCTGCAACTCCAGAAATCAACCTAGACAAACCAGGGCCCATGACGAAGAAATCTATAATTGTGTTCGTAGACGGGGTACGACACGTATGCTCAATCGGCGCCAAGACCAGCATCCCCAACTTGCGTGGAACGCCAGAGGCCTCCAGAACCTGTGGGGTGAGGTTCCAGTCGCCCGCCAGGATCGTATGAGTTGGGTCGTTCACCTGCTTACCTATCTTAGCGATCATCTGCACATTGGCCTCGCTGAGGCCCTCCGAAGTCTTCAGATAGACCGAGAAAACCGTAACCGTAGGCCACCCAGGGAAATCCACCAGGACCTTGATAGCTCGACCAGGAACCACAGGGCCAGGACCTTCTGGAGGCCATCGTAAACCAATGCTGAGCCGAGCGAAGACGGCGACACCACACGAGACCTTGCCTGTCTCTGGGTTCAAGAACGAGGGGCCGAACAGGGCGTGGAAACCGAGCGAGCGCGCCGAGGCCGTAGCTTGTCCCAGGAAGGAAACACTGATGCCTATCTCCTGGGCACATACAATCACCGCCGACGTCTCACGTAACCTTCTCCGAAGCGTCTTCCAACACGAACCGTTGAAAGTCTCAATGAAAAACGGGTCCCCTCTGGCTGCCTTTGGGCCTCCCCGCAGAGGTGGCACAGGTACTCCAGCGGAGGACAGAGGAATGCCTGACAAAAGGGGCGCACGGCAGCGGTGTAGTGCGTCACCCGCACCGCTGCTTCTTCGCCCTGATGCCGAACTGCTTGAGCAGCTCAGAGACCTCCTTCTCGTGGTCGGAGCCCTCCTTCCGCGCCGCTGCGATGACCTGCTGCACCTTCTCCTCGGAGAGCTCCTCCATGTCAACGTCATCATCCCCAGCGCTGACCTCAGCCGCTTCGGGAGCAGCTCCTGGTACCGCACCATGTACACCATCAGGGGCCCGAGGCGCGGCCTGCTGCTGGTCCCGCGCAGCAGCCGCCTTGGCCGCGTAGAGCTCCTTGAACTTGGCAAACTCAGGAGAGGCCAGCATCGTCTTGACCCCCTCAGCCTCAGGGCCCTCCAGCACAGTCGGGTCCAACTCCAGGTCGACCTCCACCTGCTGCTCAGGGGCTGAGGGCGCCACCTGCTGCATCGCGGCCTGCAGCTCAATCTTGAGTGCGTCGATGTCCACGCGCAGGCTGCGCTGTCGTTCATTGAGCTCCGCCAGCGTCCGCTGGGCCTGCTCCACGACCTTATTCTGCTCCGCAATAGACTTGTCGAGAGCCTCGAACTTCTTCTGCTTATCCGCCAGCTTGTGACCCAAAGTGGTGGCTCGGGACAACACTGGCTTCTTGGACTGCACCTCCGCCCGCGCCACCTTGAGTTCGCTCTCCACGATCTCGATAGCTGACGCTGGTACTCCATCACACTTGCGAAGAGCTTGCAATGACTCCTCCAAGTGCTGCACTTTAACACGTAGCTTGTCGTCGTCCGAAGGCGGTGCGTCTTGAGCTTCAGCACCACCGCCTCCAGCCTGGGCCGAGCCGCCGCCTCCGCCTCCGTTGGCCGCGGCACCCGCGGGAGGGGAAGACTTGGCTGCGACCTTCTCCATGATGCGCTTCTCCATTGCTGCCAGCTGTCCCGACAGATCGGCTGGGGGGCCCTTGGCCCACGCACCGCGAGGGCCGCGAGGCTGCCCAGGAGGAACGCCAGGAGGAGCACGAGCTGATGAGCCAAGGGCGGCAGCTGCAGTGCGCGCGCGCTCCACACTCGCCCTCGGGGCTGATTGCCCGCAGAGACACCGTATCCGACAAGCGAAATTTTGGTTCCTGCCACAACTCGGACACCCCCAGAAGGGCGATCGGGGCCCTGGGAGTACATCCGCCTCATCG